AGTGTATTTCTCTCTCATAATATCTGGCGGAGAAAATGGATATCGCTCATCCGGTGGTATTCCTTCAATTGACATGGCTCTTGACGCTGTAGCAAGAACTGGGATTCTTCCAGGCTACAATCTTACTTATAAACACATCAGAAACTCAAAGGTTAGCTGGAGTAATTGACAGGGGTTAGAAAACCTACTATGACTGTATACTATCAGCAGTCTCAACCTTTCCACATGTCCAAACTATAAATATACGCACTCAATGTAGGGGAGATTGTGCGCCATTAAAAGTAGCTATCCCTCCCCAGTGCACTCGGACAGACTCCCTTGATGTGTTTTTCAAGGATACTCAACTGGGAGCTGTGCCAAAGATTGCTGTGGTTGGTTGTGGCTGTTCCACTGCAACTGAGCCAGTGGCTGAGATCAGCCACTACTGGAATATAACGCATGTTAGTGCACTATTCTTGTCCTGAGCCAAGAAGTTAGTTTCACCATGCTATGTTTCTGTGTACTAAGAGTAAAAATGATTAATAGTATGTGGGAATTAATTTTGATAACGTTTGCAAATAAAAATGTTCTGACATAATTTTCCTGCTCTCTATGATTAGATATGAAGTTGTTGTTATTAAGTGTCTATTATAAATAGATATCGTTTGCTTCTGCTCTATCATCCCTGAGCGACAGATCAAGATTCCGGTATTACTTTCGAACCACTCCATCATTTGCCAACTATGCTCCTGCCATACTTGGAGTGCTAAACAACTTCAACTGGAAACAACTTGCCTTTATAACACAAAATCAAAACCTATTTCTGCAGGTAATCACAGTTTGTTTGGGTTAGCTTGTCAGGGAACATTGGTGCTATGTCTCCATTTCATGCAGATACTAAGTGATTTTGAAGAACTGAAACAGAATCTGGTGGATGGTAAGACGGAAGTGTGCTGTTTTGATAACCACGATATTGAGATGGACAGTTCCATATTCGAGGATAACGGAGATCCAGTCGCTGCAGCTATAAAAATATTTGTAAGTGTCAGGTGAATGAATCATGTACTGTTGTAATGTTGCATACCATAGAGTGGGTGACAGAAAAATTACCACAGTTAGTATTATAGCTGCAAGAGCAAATTTTGCTGAGAACAGATTTGCAGATTGCTGGTTATGCAATACAAAAATTCTGCTTTCAAAAATTTGCTCACAGCCAATCAACAGCAAAACTGTGAAAGTTGTCTCCCTCAAGAGTTTCAAGAGTCGGCTGTTCAATACTCTGTACATTAATATAACCGTACTAAAGGGCTCACCTGTATATAATACATGTGACACATTGTCTGTGCATGTTACTAATCAATGTTTATGAACTGTAGGACCAAGGAAGATTTCATCTTTTTGTGTTGAATTGTTACTCAAAACATGCAAGAAAAATTGTATGTGAGGTGAGTGTGTTCAATTGAGCAAAAATAGAATATTATTCTAACACTATTATAATGGCAGGCATTAAAAAGAAATTTTGTCTACCCTCACTACGGCTGGATTATGTTTGGCTGGTATCCAGACAAGTGGTGGACAGAGGAAGTAGCAGGAGAACACATTGATGAGTGCAGTGACGAAGAACTTGAGACCTTTATGAAAAGGTCACGGTCACTGATCATAGACTTTCTGCCTGAACCTGATGACTATTACCAAACAGCAGATGCTGGGATTGTAAGCTAATGACAGAATTTTGCTTAGGCTTTTATGTAAATCTTCATGGCAATAAAGACAGAGTAAATTCCATGGTAGCCACTGGACGATAAGCTTGTTTTGTGGTACAGTTCCACTTAGCTAACATTCCTGTACTTTTCCTGGGTAACATCGTGTTTCCTGAGAAAAGAAAGGGCATTTTACTGCACCCTTTCCTGCATTTCCACTGCCTTTTATTTCTTCAGTCAACAGATCAATTTATCAAGAACTATACTCAGAATCTGCGAGACTCTGAGTACATCATTAGCACTGTCTATATAATAGCCTTCGACACAATATGGAGTCTGGCCCTTATGCTCAACAAAACAGAGGAGATGAGAATGAGTAATGTGTCAAAAGAAAATTCTCAGTTAATGAACTGCAGTCATCTTGACGGTGAATTGGTACCCCTGAATGAGTTCAACTACTCCAATGCCTTCATGGGTTGTGTCATGAAGGAAAACTTCCACAAAGTCAACTTCACTGGAGTATCGGTATATACATTGCTAGATCAGCATACTGTAAGTAATAGTTAATGTACGGAAGTCAGTGCTTCCGTACATTAAGTTTAATTGTATGCGTGGGCGATTCAAAAGGCGGCGACCAGGAAAACCGGCGTTCAGAACGGAAGAGAGGACGAGAAGCTCGCGGAGCGCCCTTCCAGCAGCGGTTTGTGTCACCGTCTGAGTCGAATTTTTTTAACTTTTTTTAATATATATATATATTTTTAAATACTACAAACATAAAACAAATAAAACAAAAACAAAACAAAACAAAACAAAACAGACGAAACAACAAAAAGATTAAATGATGCTGTCAATAGAAGGGGGGCCAATGGGGAATCGATGGAGCCAAAGAGCGGCATTCCCACGCCAGAGAGAAACAGAGCAGCGAGTCGAATTCCGTCTACGAAAGGCCGCCGAGGGCGTCATTCCCGCAAAGCGTACGCTACTATAGTCCGCGGATATAGTTCAAAAGGCGGCGGCCAGGAAAATCGGTTTTTTGCAAGTTCAGAACGAAAGAGAGGACTAGAAGCTCGCGGAGCGCCCTTCCAGCAGCTGTTTCTGTCACCGTCTGAGTCGAACTCCGTCTACGAAAGGCCGCCGAGGGCGTCATTCCCGCAAAGCGTACACTAGTCCGCGGATATAGTACAGTTTAGTACAGTTCGGCGCGATATAGTAGAGTTCATTCAAAAACTGATGAATATAGTACTGGCGGCGCCTTTGATTCGCCCACGCATAAGATAAACAACTATAGTTGTTACAAGCAGATTATTATTATACTTACAGCACTGAGCTTTTAAACTTCAAAATTGATATTGTTATGCCTTATATAATACTAGAATGTGTTAATTTTTAAATGGGGGGGGTGTCCTGGCAACCAGCTTGCTTTCTGACTCCCATGGAAACCACTCATGTTCACTATCAATAGCAGCTGGATTACTGTCAAGTCAAAGTTGTATATCTAGTAAAATGACCAGGCATTAATTATTGTATGGTTGTCTGCCTTTATGCGTGCACTCACACAAACAATGGGTTTTTCAGATTTGCATAAGTAGCATGGATTTATGCAAACACAAAATGGAAAACTCCCGAGAAATACTTACTTGCTCTTCATTACTGATTGATGAAGATTAGAGCAAAATTTAATGTTAGCCTCAGGAATTCTTCAAACTCGTCGATATTTAAATGCAATGTTCTATGGGAGGTCCCGCTCATAGTGTGTTATACACATTATATTAGAGCGTCTAGTAGACGCTCTATATAGGGATGGCACGAGTGAAATCTCACGTGATCCGCGTACAAAACGCCTAAAAACTCGTTGAGAATGACTCCCTAGGCCTTCAAAACACACTAACGGGCCCATTTCATGTTCCCAAAGACCTCATACGCACCTTCCGTTCTCCACGCGAGACTTCGCTCATACGCGACTTCACGATTTTCTTGTCATCATCAACATTTTCTCTTCTTCTTCTTCTTCAATCCTGCTATCTCCTTACCAGAACCAGTTGAAGCGCTGATTTTTTCACTGAACGTCTCCAATTTCGCCGGAGGTGTGCACGGACATCAAGCGATCGTTTCTTTCTTGCCGCAAGTCACTACGGTAGATCATGGAGCTCTTCCATGATCGACACTGAACAACGCCATTTGCTGCTAACTCAGCATCAGTAAGCCTCGCGCATGCGCCATGCAGGCGTTGTCGAATGCGCTGTGCGAACGCCCTGATTACCAAAGCCGGCCCATGAAACCACAACTGCGTGCCACAACCTAATTACATCTCGTTGAAGACAATACCTGAGGTTAATATGGTATCTAGCTCCTGCTTCAGGCATTAGCAGCCCATTATCTACAGCTTTCAACAATTAGAGTTTGTCCTTGGTAACCTATCCACAACATACCCATGAACATCAGAGTGACTGTAACAATAAAATGCGGTGTGTTCATAAGCTGTTAAAAATGGCGGAAACAAGTGGAAAAATCATTTCAAAATGAAGGGGATATAGGGATGGCTTGAAGCACCAAAAAGGAAGAAACAAGGCTACATGACACCCCTATATCTTTGTTTTATTGCTCATAAGGAAGTTTAATATGAGGCATTAAGATATAGGGATAGTGTCATGTAGCTTTGTGCATCTTTGCTGTGTAATGACCCCTTGATTCTTCCTTTTTGGTGCTTCTATATCCCCCTTCATTTGAAGAAATGATTTTTCCACTTGTATAAATTGTATTGGAAGGGCTTTTTCGAAAATTCAATCCATGATCAAACTTTGGTCTGCATCCACTCTGATATGAGCAATGCAGTACATTTAAACGAAAATGGTAGCATGACACCTTTTTGGTCATTGCTCTAGCAACATACACTCTGAAAACTGTTCTACATAAATCCCTTGTGCCCTATAAACACATTTCCACTACGAATGGTCTCTTTTGACATGATTGGCGAGTGAAGTAAGCTTACCTAGTCGTTTCAATGTGGGAATTTTCGTAATTACAATAGCTACATCAATTATAATATGAATATGACGGCTCTGTCGGACACTGCACATACCGTAAATTTCTACGTATTCGCATAACACGCACAATAATATTGAACTGCTCGTGCTCCCTCACCAACAATGCGGTGCATTCCTCTTGATGACAGAAATCAGAAAATGGTTGGTGGTTGTAAGCAGCAATGATGACTTGATAACAGTTAACCTGTACACAGCATCGTATGATGATGCTGGGAAGTTATAGATTGCTTTCTGACTGTTCCTTTGACAAGGGCTGTAACACATTTCAGCTACTCTGCTTTAGGGTCCTGTTCGGTATGATGAGAATGGAACTATTGTCTACACTCGAATCAGACTGTCGCAGTACCGAGAGGAAAATGGTATAAAGGTCTTGTCATTGCTGTTCCTGTTTTTGAAAGCATAAACATTCTTTTTTCAGACCTGGTGTCATTGAAAAGATTTGGATACTTGGACAGAGACTCAAACTTTGCTCTTGTATACGAAACTGGAGAGAGTGACAAAACTCTGTATCCAGGTAGCTACTCAATATGACAAGCATTAAACTGTATGTCATTCAAACTAGCTTAAATGTTGCGTATAAGTATATATTTAGCATTCCTAGCATTACTACTTACACTATTGAACTGTGTAGAGTTAGGTGCACTCTTTGTCATTTTTGCAGATGGTTTTCCGCCGGATGGAACTCCTATGATTGTAGTTCAAGGTCCTCATAAGGCACTTGTTGTAGTTTACTACACTCTGGCAGTCTGTGGAATCATAGGATCCATTATGTTTCTGATTTTCAATTTTATTTATCGCAACACAAAGTAAGTTAACCTACTGACATATATACCTATGCTAGAGCTAAGGGTACTTAGTAAATCCAGAGCCTCTAACTCTATCTATCCTTAATTTTACGACATTTTGTACACACTCTACAGTCTACATGCAATAATCTAGTAAGTGTGCAAACTACTGAAAATTGGCAGACTGGGCACAGGTGACTTTAAAGTTTAGTTAGAGATACTTATAATTCACCATGCATCACTATGACACACATCTTCTTTTCCCAGAGTTATTCGTCTGACAACGCCACAACTCAGTTACATCATCATTAGTGGAGCCTTGCTGATGTATTTGTCTGTATTTCTCGGTTTACTGCCATCTACAAAGAAAGCTGTGATACGAATGCAATGCAATGTGAGCTATTTATATGGTGTAATATACACCAAAGGAAAGCTTTCTACATACAGGTCCATGTATGGCTGTATGGAGTTGGGTATCTCCTTGTTTACGGAACACTACTGGCAAAGATGTGGAGAGTCTACCAGATCTTTCACAACCCATATCCAAACAAAACGGTATATAGCTGGGTGTTTCATACCACACTCTTACACCGCGTTAGTATGAGATTTTCTCTTTCAGATTCTCAAGACGTGGCATCTCATGTGTGTGGTGTTCTCTGTGACTGGTGTTGGAGTGCTGCTCATTCTCGCCAGATCTGTGGCCCAGGCACTCACTGATCCTGACTTGGTGACCAACAAGGAAAATCTTGAAGGAGCAACAGTAAGTGTATAGCCGTTGGTTTACTACTAACTGCACTAGTAATTAGGCTGCGATGACATGTTCAAAATACTTATGTGGCAGCCAGGCCATTGAGCATGCTACCTGCAACTATAACTGCAGCACTGCTATCAATGCTAGTGCTTAATCACTCGCTCACATACAACTGAAGAACTATTTACCTGAGGGTCAGTAGTCAATGTTCCACCTATTCATTATTTGCAGGGTTCATATATTCAGAAATTCAACAAAGTATGGCAGTGTTATGGCTCTGGATCTGCTCCATTTTATCTCGACCTGGTGATATTTGTGTACCTTGGACTGCTGCAGGTGGTGGGCATCATCCTAGCCTTCCAGACCCGCAAAGTCAAAATCCCTATCCTGAATGACTCAAAGTCGGTGACAGCTCTCATATACATCTCCAGTATTGTACTGGTGGTGATAGTCCTTATCTCCTTCATCTTGAATGAATATGTCAATGTCAGAGCTGTCATGTTCTACGGGGGAATCATATTACTGGCTACAATCTTCCTGGCACTGATTTTCATTCCAAAGGTTTAATGCTTACTATAGACCTATATAGTCTTCTCTAACACATGTATAATTATATGTATCACATAAGTCTAGCTGTGTAAGTCCATGAGGATTCTGGCACAACCGTCATCAATTGTACATTTCGCCTGACCACATAAAACACTGCACTAATCCTCTCAGTAGCTACATCCCATAGTGCACATCTGCACTATAGCTTATTGCTCAGATGATATGTTTGAGGACCTGGAACAATATTAGACCATTGCCTTGAGGAATACAGTTTTCTCACACACACTGATGTAGCTATTTCAAGCCTGTTCTGTGTTCTATGAGCTGGTGAACAATGGATTGTCTCACAGCTGGAAACAAATCTTGAAATGCCCCTTTGTTTTCTACCTTGTCAGGTGATAAGCTTGCATCGGGATCCAACAGGCAAAGAGATCTTCAGTGATATTGGTGATCCTTCCAAACGTGCAGAGAAGTGTGAGATAAAAGGCAATCATAACAACTTGGCTGTGGGCCTGGCCGAGCTAACGGACTCTGAGATGGTCCCAAGTGGCTGAAGGACAATTTGAATGACAAGAACAGGAGGACAGCTGAGCTGGAGTCTGTCGTAACACCACTACCTAGATTTGTAGAGCTAGCTATAAACAAGCTGCTGTGTCATTGTAAATTGACTGCTGTATGATTATGGTAGCTAACTTAGTGTAGTTTGTTACTTGTAATGTTGCCCAAGATATGCTTTGCCATAGAGCCACCTCTCCCCTATAAAACCCTCCGAATATTATTAGCTATTTTGCAACAGTTTGCATAAGATTTTGTGACTGTGTAGGCCAAAACAGGGTTGTAATATTAATTTGTTGTTGTCTATTATTATAGGTTTTATCAGGACATAGACGCTGCAACTTGTATTTTTTATCCACTTCCCTATACACTGTTCACGCCAGATCTGCATGAAAATAATCTTCTATCTATGGTTACTTAATGAAATGATCAGGTTGATATCAAGTAACTGTCAGGTGACATTATGATGGCTACTGAATCAGAAAGGCACTGAAGTGCAAACCCTCGGGAGGACAGCTGAACTGGAGTCTGTCGTTAACTACTTAGTAGAGCTATGTACAAGCAGCTGTGTAATTGTAAATTGACTGCTGTATGATTTTGGCAGCTAGCTACTAGCTTAGTGTAGTTTGTTACTTGTAATGTTGCCCAAGATATTCTTTGCCATAGAGCACCACCATGTATCTATCCCCTATAAAACCCTCTGAATAGCTTGCAGCAGTTTGCGTAAATTTTTGTGGCCGTGTATAGGCCAAAACCGGGTATTTAAAAGAAATAATATTTTGTTGTATATAGGGTTTATCAGGTAGCTACAGTTCTGCGCACATAGACACTTGAACTTGTATTTTTTTTATCCATTCCCCTATACACTGTTCGTGCCAGATCCGCATCAAAATGATCTTCTATCTATGGTAATGAAATGATCAGGTTGATATCAAGTAACTGCCAGGTGACATTTTGATGGCTACTGAATCAAGGTCTTTCAGCATTATAGCCGATTATTACAATAAGACTTAGAGTTAATTCCTGAAATTTATAGGTGCAATCTTAGTGTACATGGGCATCTTTGAGTGCTGAAATATTTCATTAGGCAACACTATAGGTAAGCTTCAAGATCCATCCTAATGTGCTATCGATCCATCTTCATCTTCATTCAGAAGGGAGTTTGTGCAGCGCTGTTTTAAAAGCTCAGTGAGTGCTTCATTACGCAGGATGATGCTTTTTTGTATGTGTTCATATATAATCGGTCTTTGGAATTCATTTACAGAGAGAGGCGCTTTCTGAAAAGCAGAGGGTGACCAACTGAGTCAAATGCCTTTTGTAGGTCCACAAAACAGCAGTTCTTGCTGGTGATAACCAGTGCTTTCATCTGCAGATTTCCCTTTTCAAAGGCTATCGGTCTATATACAAGTGGAAAAATCATTTCTTCACAATGAGGGGGGATATAGGGATGGCTTGAAGCACCAAAAAGGACAAAACAAGGGGTCATTACACAGCAAAGATGCACAAAGCTACATGACACCATCCCATATCTATTAAACTTTGCCTATAAACAGTAAAACAAAGATATAGGGATGGTGTCATGTAGCTTTGTGCATCTTTGCTGTGTAATGACCCCTTGTTTCTTCCTTTTTGGTGCTTCAAGCCATCCCTATATCCCCCCTCATTTGGAAGAAATGATTTTCCACTTGTTTCCACTATTTTTAACTGCTTATGACAACACTGCATTTTTCAGTCACTCTGGTGTTCATGGGTATGTTGTAGAGATAACTGATGAAAGCAGTAGCTAATGGGCGGAAGCGGGGTGTACGCGTAGTGTCTCCAACAAGGACACAATTAGGTTGTGGCACACCGTGACGATTTCATGGGCAGGCTTCAGTAATCAGACTACAATGATAGCTAGCTACCCGGGGGACAAAGAATGAAGGCCAATTTGTACGCCCCCGTAAGGCTTGCGTAACCCGGCGCAGACTGCCGCGTGCAAATCAACAGCTAAAAGCAAGCTAGCCAGTTAGAAATGTGTATACTGACTTACAGAAGGCGCTGGAGGATTAGAGTTCCTCTGCAGGCATCCTGGCCTTTTCTCGTTTACGCGAGACTATGTAATGCGCGCACACCGCATTTCATTGGAAACGCCCTCCTCGGCGCATGCGGCTCACTGATGCTGAGTTAGCGTTGTTCAGTGACTACCGAGGAGGAGCTGAACGATCTACCGTATAGTGACTTGCGGCAAGAAAGAAACGATCACTTGATGTCCGTGCACACCTCTGGCGAATCTGGAGACGTTTGATGGAAAAATCAGCACTTCAACTATTTTCGGTAACGAGATAGCGGGGTTACTGAAGCCGTTAGTTTTGAGGCGTTTGTACGCGCGGAATCCCGTGACGATTTCACCGTGCCATCCCTATACAAACAGTTGAAAGCATATTCTTCAAAATGCACGATATAGGGATGGCTTGAAGCACCAAAAAGAAGGACACAAGGGTCATTACCCACCAAATCTGCACAAAGCCACATGACACCATCCCTATATCTTGCCTCATAGTATTTTTAGATACCGTACATGATGAACGCAGGAAGAACAAATCTGCAAAAAAGCGGCTCAATGGACTCCTCTCTCAGCGCTCAGTTCAACCGTACGGCTCCGGCGGAGAAACGGAGGTTTGTATTTCGCGCCTCGTATGACTCTGCGCATGCTCAGTAAGCGCCGCAACTCCTCAATAATTATTAATAGTAGGTAGGCAAAACGTCATCGGTAATGAATATTCAGTACGCAAAAATGGCCGTGTGGCACGCGACTCCAGCTTCCTATGAATGACGTAAGGACAATTAGGTCAAACCCAAAAGGGTGTGGCGCTAACCATGTGCGCATGCGCATGAAGGGTGTGGCTTGTCAGAGCTAGCGCAATGCGCGTGTGTATGTTGAATTATGCATAAGTTAAATTGGTATGCGTTTGTGCGTTATGCGCATTGCAAAAAAACGCACGTGACACTTGTTTCAAAAGAGAGAGCGTGCAGATGGACTCGTCGAGCGCTTTTGGTGAGTTTAGAGGTAGTCTGTACGTGTTTAGCACACAGGCAAGGGGGCGAATACAGTGTAAGGCATGCTAATACGCTCGCGTGCGCCCGTACCTTGCCTGTATAATGGGATGGATTTTTGTGTGTACATTATATACATACAAATATATGTCTCAGTGTGTGTTTATCAGCCAAAGTATGGATCCAGTGTTACCCATACTATTCGATTCATGTTCTAGAGCAAGTGCTAACCTCCTCTATCCCTACCTCTGGTCTCGTCCCCAGACCCCTCCCACTCATCACGTGGAAAAGGGGTCTGCTGTTTATTTCTTGGTCCTAGATCTCAAAATCGAGATATCCAATCAGATCGCAGAACAGCCAATCAATGTCATTTGCATCCGTAGTCCACGGACATTGGTTGTAGGTGGAGCCTCGCATGCATTACGTTACTGTACTGTGCATCGGATACTACGGATATGACGTCTTTAGGACCGAGCTTCGCATCTAAAGCTACCAGACGCTCCTTCCTCTTGTGGGTGGAGCTACTAGTCTGGCGGGGCCACATCCACGAGCGCTAAGCTCGAGGTTCTGAGTGGATTAGCTTTTATAATGATGGCTAGAGCTTGGCTAACTGGTTATTACAATATGACATGGTAACAGAACAGGCAATTTGAACGTGGAACTGCTTATAATCTTGGATAGGGAGGGAGGGAGGGGAGGGAGGGAGTAGTCTGGTGGTGGAACCCACACTGACGAGCTGCTGCCCATAAAGCCGTGAGGGTCTTTCTGGCAAGCTGTATCGCAATTTTGTACCCTGCTGTAGCATTTTTGCAGCCCAATCAGTTTGCAGAACGTCACTTCTATAACGTAAACATAATAACGTTATATCATGAGTACATATCACTTACAGTCAGCATACAATTTTGCATCAGCCTGCCATTGGTAGACAGCAACAAAGTGGTATATAGGTGTCCTACTCTGCACTTTTCCATGTGAGCTGCAACTATGTGTACCTCAATTTTTGTTGCAGGCAAGTGAATAAAATGTTATTTTCCTCTAGGCTCTTTGTGCCAAGAAGGCGGCTCGCAGGAGTCCGTAGAAAAATGTTCTGAGAAAGATTATTGTGAGAGTAAATATGCTTTTGTTAGTAGTTCTGAGGGTGAGTCAGGGGAAGGTTGGGAGAGTGAGTCGGAAGCAATTGACAATAGCTCACTCTACATTCCCACACCTGACCGTCCCGTGGGGATCAATTATATTGACTTGCCCAATAAGTTGTGTTTCCTTGCCTTACCTCAGGTGGGCAAGTTTTTAGACATGATTAATCAGGTTAGGGGCTGCAAAACCCCCGGGTGCAGTGGAAATTTAGCTCCTACTGGTGTAATGTCTAAAGGGTTTGGTGGTTGTGTTTATGTATCCTGTCGTTGTGATGGATGTGGGTCAGGAGGTGCATATTTAGAAACCTATATCAACCAACCTGGACGTACAAAAGATATTGTAAGCATATGCGTCCAGGTTGCTTTCATTGTTGCCGGTAGTACTCACATGGGGTACTACAAAACAACTGAAACATGCACTGGGCATTGATGTCGTAGGTCCTAATGCTTTCATGGATACGATTCGTAATATGTATCCCATAGTCAAGTCGATGCTGGACGAAATGTGTGAGTCAGCAAAACAGGAAATGAAAGACAAAAAGGAAGATGAGCTCGGGTCATGGAAACGTGCAGTAACTGTTGCTGATGGTACATGTCAAACACGTGGCTGGCATAGTAAAAACGCCACGTTCACCATCAGAAATTACCTGAATGGGGCTCTCCTCTATTATCATCATCTCTGCCAAAGGGGCAGAGACAAAATGATAGAGGAAGAGTTGTACAAGGGCACATCCAAATCTGCCGAAGGGTATGCCGCATGCGTGACATTTCGGAGGGCCAAAGAGGAGGGAATGCAGGTTGCCGTCCACTGGCAGGACGCTGACTCCTCCTCGGCCAAGGCAGTCAGTGATGTGTTTCCTGACGCTGAAATTATGATCTGCGGTGGACATGCCGGACGTGCCCAGAAGAAAATCCTGGAATTGCGTCAGAAAATGAAAACAGCTTCAAGGCAAATGTGTAATAAGTACAAGGCTAGTTTTCCAGTTTTATGTGAGCTGAGCTGTAAATGCCATGCACAGTGCTGCATGCGGTTGTTTGAATCC